CCACCGCCACCGCCACCGCCACCAGCAACACCACCCCCTTTCGTAGTTCCCACTGTCGCTGCGGCTGTGCCTGCTGCGCCATTGCTATTCCCATTCGCTTGTCCACCAGTGCCGTTTGCGCTGCTGCTGCTACTGGCGCTATTCGCCGTTTTATTCCCACTCACATCCGCCTCAATGTCGAGCACATTGTTGTTCTCCGTTGTCAGTGTGCTCATCTGGTACAGTTCGAAGGCTGGCACTGCTCTCGTTGATTTGAATGCACCTGAATTGCCGCCACCGGCATTATTAGTGTAGGTCCCCGCGACACTGGCATCAATTGTTGCAATGCCATCGCCGCCACCGCCACCACGGCCACCGCTGGCACCGGCGATTGCGGCCGCCATGACAGCATCAATTTTCGCACTAATGGCCGCAATGTGCGGCGAGCTGAGCTGCAGTTGATTTAATTTCGCCTGATACCAGGTGGCTGTGATGACGAGTAGCAAAAGTGAGAATACGAAACTTCTGAAAAACAAAAGTAAAATGGGAATTTTTGTTCCAACTGCATTTTTTGAATGAGTATGAAGCGGAAAGTTGCTGATAAACTCACAGAAATATTTGAAATTTTAATTCGCGCCAATAGCTGAAGGCGCCGGGCACTGCACGCACATGTAGCACTTGTATGATGGTGTGGTTGCCGCTGCTGCTATTGCTGTGACCATGGCCAATACTTTGGTTGTATTGTGCTTGATTGATCGCCGCGGTATTTAGTGCGACAAGCATTTGAGCATGTGGATCCAGTGTGAGTATGGCGTGCACGTCGTGTGCATTGCAGGAACGTGGTAAACACTCGCCCACTTGGAGGTTTACGTGCTGAGGAGTTGGAAGAGAAAAGGGAACGAACAAAGCGATGAAGGATGTGAACTATAAAGCTTTTTTCATTCTTGGACGTGAAAAATAAACCGTTTAACAATTTCCCTTGGAGAAATTTTTTCTAAATACTTTTCCTTAAAATGTACGTGGCAAGAGTAGTTAAGTTACCTGCGTTTGCAACAATATTTCACCTTCCTAAAATTTTGCCCAAAGGGAAGTTTTAAAAAATGCTTCGGTTTACTAGTAAAATTTCATAAAATGTATTGTGAAGTAAGTTTTTTTCGAAAAACCATGTATTTATAAAATTTCCCTCTAAGGGAAATTTTTGAAAAATTATCAAAAATTGTCGCTATGTGTGCTTAAAATTTCCTACTGTGCTCAAATTAGTTTCTTTGCACTTATTTTGCATTTCCCAGAAGGGAAATTTTTGAAATTCCTTGATATGCTTGTAAAAATGTACATATGTACATATTATCAAATTCGTTGATCTATAGAATATTCTCGTCTGGCAGTGATTAGAGACAATATTTTTTTACACTTAGAGCGGTTTAATCTTTTCGTTCGGATGCTGGTAATACCAGCCTAACTTAAGCCTACTTACCAACTGTTGCGGCATCGACAGGTGTAGCGCAACCAAAGCAGCATAAAATTCAAACTCGAAATGTTTACGCTCATCTGGATTTAGTTGCCGATTAAGTTCATAGCAGAAATTCTTCTGACCCAGCCATTTGTCGTTGCCGAAGAATAATTGTCCACGGTAACGGCCGGAAGCATCGTATGCTGGAAGATACCAATTTTAAAAGAATGCAATTAAAGAGAGAAATAAAAAGAAAGTCTACAAAAACAAAGAAATGAGTAAAAGAACAACTAATCACTGCTAAATTTTAAAAGTGCAAAAAGTACAGCTTAAAGTCTGAATCGAAAAGTTATGCTGCATAAGCACTAGCGCTATTAAAAAAGAAAATTTCTATCAGTCCGTTTTTTCCTATTTTTCTCTTTCTCTCCCTCACTTTATTCTCTCCTTTAGCGCACTTTTATCGCTTAATATCGCGCGCCCTTGTTTGTTGAAAGTTCCACAGACAACACCATTCGCCGGTTGAAACAACAGAACTAACGGTGTCGGTAGCAATACAGTGAATTGCAGATTTACAATGTTAAGTGCAACTTTATTACCAGCAACAGCAGCAGAGTGCGAAATGCACCGTAGTAAATTTTGTTGTTATTTGCCTTTTAAAACGGTAAACGGTTGATTGTTAAATCGTAAGCGCTTGGGGGAAATTTAAAAGATTTTTTTTTGTTAATATGAAGACTGAAAACAATTTAGTAGCTTCAGTTTCGATTATTTTTTTTTGCATTTGCACAGAATTTCTCATGAAGGAAATTTTTAAATTTTTTAATTTTTTACTAGAAATACATATGTATTATAAAAAATTCTTATGAAGAACAAATTTGTTTATAAAATTTCCTTTTTTCCAAATTAGCGGGAATTCCCGTCAACATATTTAGTAGTAGTGTTAAGTAAATAGTATTATTAATATTGTTTTTAAACTGAATTTGCATTTTAATAAAATGTCCCATGAGGGAAATTTTTAAATGTTATTTATTTAATATGAAGACTCTAAAGGCAATTTAGAAGCTTGAATGTGGTATATTTTTGCATTTTCACAAAAGCGCTCATGAGGGAAATTTTTAAATATTATTTTTTACTAATAATGTTATAAAATATTCTTACGAAGAAAACAAAGCTTTATAATATTTCCTATCGAAATAATTTTTTTTTTCAAATTAGCTGGAATTCCCCTCAAATATATTTAAGTGCCTAAAATAGTATTCTTTTAATTCTTCAGAATTTCTTCGCTGGGAAATTTTTAAAACTGACCCCCGCCCTGTGGATGTAAATTCTACCAAACCCTGCTTTTAGAGCCTATGTGCAAGTTCCGAAAGATATATGTACACTTCAGGCGCCTCATCCAAAATACTACGAGTAGCAAATGTCCAATCATGAAATGCTCATCAATCATGCACCAGTGTTTACTTAGAATTGCTCAATTTGCAAGGAATGTGGCGCCCACATTGCGAAAGTGTAGGGCAATTTATGGGTGCGCATCATTATCAGTTTTTTTTTTTGGGAAATTAGACTAACTTTAGCTTGATTGAAATTCAAGCTGGCGCCATGTTTTCTCTCCCTCACCCTGCGCTGGCCTACAACGCAGTCATTAACTGGCGTACGCTTCAACGTTTGGCTGGTTTGGCTTCTGCGCGGGTTATGTGTGTCACCTTCGTAATCATCATTAGGCTCTTTTTCTCTCCTATACTTTTGCTGTTGATTTGCGCATTCACGTGTAATAATTACCAGCACACAATTCATGAACACCGAATTCAATTGACTGTAAATTCATTTGTCTGAAATGATTTATGTCGTGTAATAGAGGTGGGTAACTCAGCACTGTGCTGAGTTACTGTGCTGACTCTTAGAACTGTGCCGCACGCTCAGACTCACCTCTGAAAAAAATTTTAACTCAGTAACTCAGTTTATGTGCTGACAATGTATAGCTCAGTGTGCTACAGAGGCGATATGGTAACTCAGTTGATGTGCTGACACTTGCATAGCTCGGTGCGGCTTGCATTGTTTAGAACTGTGTCGATGTGGAACTCAATTGATGAGCTGACACATTCACACAATACGATCTTCCAAAAAGTACCATAATAGATGGCATCAATAGACTAATGGGCTGTTTTTGCTTACGCGTAAATGCACATTTAGCGCATTTAACTGTAAATGCTACCCTAAATGTACATTTATCCATACAAAATTCGTCATCTAAATGCAACTCCAGCTTTGCATTAAGAATCTAAATGCTAAAAGCAACCCTGTGATCTTCCAAAATTTCCACGATTCGAACATGGTTTAATGAGAAAAAGTGCCAATATTGCTTTTTCGAGTATACAGTGGCTAGCTGCGTTTCAATAATCGCCGATCGAGATTTCATTTTTTTATTTTCCATCATTAGGATAAAGAAAAGTTACGCAAATTCAACCCTGCTTGTTTTTTCCTAATTAAGTGAGGAAATTTTAATTGACAGCACCGACAAATGCATATATACACAAACAATTGTTCGGTTATGGTTAAAACAATTAAAGTTTTTGTATTGAATTTTTGGTTTAAAATTTATATTTGCCTTTTCAGTAGGGTTTTTTGAACATTATCTTCTGCGTGAGGATTTATCGTAATAGATACGGATCTGAATAAGCGAGTAGAACACGGCTGTTTGTCAAAACCATACGATTTCGAACTCGCGTAAATGTACATTTGCTAAATGCGATAGGATGAACGCTCTTCGAAAACATATGTTCGAAAGTGCTAAATGTTGCATTTTAAATGCAGCAAAAACGCTGCATAACCATCAATTGAATATACGACTACCAAATTTAACAAGAAGCAAGGCGAATAGCCCAGTTATGCATACTTGCACTGTTATACCATTTTTACGTAAAAATCAAAACCAAACAGAATTCTACATGTGAAGTGCTATTCGTTGGGTAACCGCTTACATGCATAGCCCATTTATCAGATTCTTATATGACAACTCTCAAGCAAAGCTAAGTATGCATAACTGGGCTAGAAGTTAATACATCCAAGGGGAATTATTTTGCAAATGAACTCACCAGTTGCAATCAGCTTTCTAAAACTTTGCCGGCCAGCTACGAACAGAAGCTAAAGATAATCTTTTCTAAATCGATTTCGGTTACATCATCAAAAATTTCGATGTACATACCAATTGTGCGATAGCACACTTGTGCCAGCTCACTGTGCTGACTCATTAAAGTGAGTTGGAGTTACTGAGTCAGCACACCAAAATTTACAGAGTTACCCACCCTTA